GTCAAATTGTTAGTATCTTCCACTATGGTACGTGGGGAAGCTAGATGGAATTGATCAACCTCGTTTGTGATGTTCTCAAATCTACAACACCTTTGCTTATTTTCTTCTATTTCTTTACTGAGTAAATCACTTTTCTCTTCTTTGATCTCACAAAGTTTTTGTTGGTTGTTCTCTCCATGTTTCTGTAAAGCTTCCATGAAATGATCCTGGCATTCATTGATGTGTGACTGTGCAGCATTCACATTCCTTTCTAATGTGTCTTTTGCAACCTCTAACATTTGTTTGCAATCAAGGTCACTGTTATTTATTTTTTCAGCCATGTTAAATAATTTATTAATTTCGCTTAGTTTGTTTTTAGCTTCTGTTTTGAGATCCTTGACGTCATGGTGTTGATGACAGCTATCTTGGGCACAGACATTACAGAGGAATTCTGTAATTTCATGTTGATAGCACACCAAGGTGATTTCTTCTCCCTTGTGGTCTTTAACCTGGCAGTAATCTTTTCTGTCAATTTCATGAAAATTAACTTCATTTAGGGGTGTTGATTTTGGATGCCCCTTTATTGGTAAGTCATCATGACGTTCACAACAGATTTTACAAAGAGCCTTAGAACAACTTTCACACCATGCCACTGCTTCATTAAAGTTAGATGGTTCACGGCAAAGCTCGCATTTTTGCACTTGACTTTCATCCCTCTGTCTGTATTGATTTTCAAGGAGATCCTTTAGTCCGAGTAGGTCATTGTTGTCAGTATAGTAAGCACTGGCATCCGTACCTTGTGCTGGAGGTATATGTTCATACCTGCAAGTTGGGCATCTGAAGGTGTTTTCACGAGCATTATAACATCGCCGAATCAGTTCTCTAATGCAGACAATACAAAAAGAGTGTGTGCATACAAGAATTTTAGGGCGACGAATGTCTTCATCATAGTGTTCTTTACAAATTGGGCATGACACAAATGCGTCAATGCCTTGCACAATGCTTGCCATGTTTCTCGAAATTTAAACGCAATGATAACGATGAACTAGACGTTGGTGAAATGATGCCTGTTCGAGTTGACCAATTCCTGAAAATTAATTTTGGAATAAGCAATGTATCAGACTGTATAGAGTCTGTCTCTTATACACATCTAGATGTGTATAAGAGACAGGTCTAATGTCAATATCATCGTCGCCATACTAATCGTAATCACCGTTATAACAATCAGACTATGTATTTTCATTCTTAATATTACCATATTATTAGGCCTACTATGAATAATATAACTATTCTGTAGGATAGCAATAAGACGAGTATTTGAAACAATAAGTGTAGAAAATTTCAAAAATCTATCAGACTTTCTGTGACTGTCATTTGTATTTAATTCGCCAGATTTTGCATTCACTTGGAGGCATAGGCTTAAAGCTAGAATCCTGAGATCTTAGGTTGCTTTGTTTCATCAGTGTTTCTTTTTTTGTGGTGTAGTTCGTTATCACAACGATATTATTAATATGGTTCTTCTCATTATAATTTTAGTATTAAGGCTAATATGAATATTATTACTACATTATTAAATTAGTAATATTATTATTATTATTAATTTAGTAATGTAGTAATAATATTCATATTATGACTACATTACTAAATTAATAATAATAATAATAATAATAATAATATTACTACATTCCTAAATTAGTAATAATATTACTAATATTATTTTCTGTTGCTGATAATATTATTAATTAGAATGATAGTTTATTAGTATTATCATCATTAACATTTTAATTTTTATTATCTTTTCAAATACCATCATCATTATCTGTCTCTTATACACATCTAGATGTGTATAAGAGACAGATATAATTGTGACTGGGTTCCACTCCCTAACTTTGTCTTAATCAGTGAAAATGCTTAAAAATATATCGATTTTGGCACCAATGGCGTTTCACATATTACTTATTTTCAGGGCGTTTCATAGCATACTTTTTTAGAGATTAGGATTAGGATCTAATTCGCATCCAAATTCAACAACATACCAAGTTTCTCGACATAAACCATGCATAAACCCACGCTAGTGGCGCTTTAATACTAGGAAAAATCTATTTACAGACTTGTGGCAAGTTGCAGATATCTCGTCTTGTCGTCAAATGCTTATAAGAATGCGGCGTATCGCATTAATCTCTAACTTGCCATGCATCGAGACTAGACTAGACTAGTGCTGTCTAATACGCATGCGTGTTAATAATTAGTCCGATATGAATGCCCAATAAAGATTTCAATGGCCTAGTTCGTTAAGGCCAAATTCGAATTTTACTAATTTTAGTACAGTATTCGAATCATATTTAAAAACAAAATAACATGAGGATGCCTTTCAAGATTCAAGAACTGAATAAAAAAAAACCCGTCAAGTCTATTAAGTATACCTTTATGGAGAGTACTCAGCTTATGTCTGTCTTGCTTCGATGATAATGGCACATTTAATTTCCGACTTTCTACAACCAACAAATCCAGAATTTCCTTTACAGCTTTGTATTGTTCATAGAATGTGTATTGAGCAGGAGGATCCTCCTTAAGTATACACGCTGCCAGGCTCCGGACCCCGCAAATGTAGACATTGTATCGCGTTTTTGAGTACCATTTATTGGTGAGTAGCGGACTTTTTACCATTGTCATGTTCATAGAAGCCAGACGAACATGACCGATTCGATCGTTCGAATTAAGGTGTTCATACGCTACAAAGGCTTCCACCACAAGCTCAATGATAAGTTGAACGTACAACTGCATTATTGCTCGTCCTGTAGGATCAACTCCTCTTGTTGTGTCATCTACTGCATTTTGACCTCTGTCTAGTGCCTCCATCCATCTAACAGAACCATAACTGCATTCGTCTGACGAACAAAACCCAAAGAAAACTTCCACCCAATCCGCCAATGAATCATTGCTGTAAACCTTCAGTTCTTTCAGAAGCCTCTTGCAATCAACCACAAGATCCATAAGGTTGGAGTGAAGACTTTCAAAAAGAGCACGTGGATTTCTCAGTTGTTTGAATGAGCCGTTAAGTGCATCGCATAGTTGATTGAATGTTGGAGATAGTAGGCTTCCAATTTTTAGTTTAAAATGTGCTTCTAATAACACGTCTTCGGCGTCAATGATCGACTGCCGAAATTCTGAAAAGCTCTTACAACTCCAATGCTTCATAATTTGATTTACGTGTCGATCTGTCAATTTTTGGTGCTCAATTGTGTCTCTTGGTTTTGGCTCAGAGTCATCTTCGAAGTCGCAAGTCGAAATATAGGCAGCCATTCTTGTTTCAACAACTGTGGAATAAACCATGTACATTTTTATCAGCACAACATTTATTGATATATGCGTTGGTGCATTACCATAAACTTTTCCAACTCTCATATAGTCAAATATGCAAATGATATGGCCTTTGGTTTGCTAAGATATAATATTGAACATGTATGTATCCAAGAATGAATGTGATCGGTTAACTACGTGGTGCAGTGATAATTATCTAAAGATTAATTCGTAAATGAGAAATAGCGTGGGATTTTAGAAATAAATCAAATGATAAAGTGCAATGATTACTTGAATATCATATTATTGAACGTGTCTATTAGTATAAATGCCTCGGCACGTACTTGGGTGATAAGTTAAAATTTGATAAGATTACTGACGTAATTGTTATAAAGGGGAATCAAAGGCTGAATTGGTTGAGTAGATTTAACAAAGCTAAAGTCAGAAATCTTGTTTTATCATACATTGCTTGGTTTGCAAACTTGACAGAGAAGAATATGATTAGAATTGGGAGGCTATAAAACAGCCTATACAATTATTGGTTCAGCGATTAATGATGTGAATGATATTTACGAAACGCAAACACTGAGGAAATTTAATAATGTTAAATGAAAATGGTTATCATCCATTATGCAATGTATTTACTAAGAGTAACTCGAACCGGCTTAGACCGCCAAGATAAAAAAAATCACGATTCAGATTTTCTTTTGTTCCATATGCCATTCACATCTTTAAAATTTTAAGAGAGCGTTTCAATATATTGAATATTTGAATATTTATGAATACTATAATGATAACTATAATTATGTCAATAATAATAAATAAATATATGCATTGGTCATTGTTAAACCAGGATTTTAGGCAAGTTGTACAGTTTTTGGACATTTTCGACATCTGTTGTTTTACATACTTTTAATATACTGTATATTTATTGATTATTTATCTGCTAGTGGATTCAGTTTTATTTTTTGACTTATATTATCAATATTTCTTGATGGATTTTGTCCTGCCAAAGAAAACAGTTTTCATAAATTATTTTAAGTTATGTCGAATAAAGTTATCTATGTCTAATGACTACATCTGGAGAATTTAATTGTTATTGGATGATTCCAAAGTCCTGCTATCTCGACGCAGCACTGTTACTTTTTGAGTGCTCGATTGAATAGTACTTGAGCTAGTCTCGCGGTGGATGATGTTAAGGTTCAACAACTTGCCTTTATATGATCAATAATAATGTTTATGTAGATAACACTCCTTTGCCTATAATTTATCGAATTAATGAATAGTTTACGTACTGCGTGTAAATTTTGTCAAATTACTGGTATCATCTTCAGATCGCAGATCAATTTGTAACTGGAGACCTTCGTCGTAGTACTGTTCAGATTTTAATGTAAAGGTACAGAATTCGTCGTACCATGTTTCAACGTCTAACCTTCTATTTGAAATAGTACATCCAAGGGTAATGGCCGCATGCACATATACGTCGTGCTTGGACTTGCAGTAATACTTTGACTTCACTAATTCAGACTCACAGAGTGGAAGACAGAAGGTAGCTATTCGCAGAAGACCATGATGATCTCCCGGTAGGATGTGATTACGGGTGAGCCAAACCCGGCATGTAAATTGTAAAATCAACAGAATGTATGATTTTGAAACATTTCTAGCTGCATTTGGAAGTGATGAAAAGAATTGTGACAATTCTTTTGTTTTTGAAATAACTTTCTGCCATTCAAATGAACCATACTCTAGCGTGGAATTATGTCTGAAGACTGCTTCGCTCAGCTTTACCCACTCTCCAAATGTATTGCATTGCGTTTCTACTTCCATCTCTTGCAATATTTCTCTGTGTGACTCCGCCAGAGATATTAACTGTTGGCAAATAAGGTGATGGAAGGCGTCGACGTCTGTCACATGATGGTTGATACAGTCGTGCAGTTCGGCAAAATCATTACAGCCTTTAGATATCATCGTTGCAAATCTCCCTCGACCCATGGCGGATTTTGTTTTCTTGTCAACGTTAACCAGTACACGCTCCATTGCTTCGTAACTTCTTTTTTTAAAGAATTTGCTTGCTAAATCGCAGTTAAAGTGCTCCCAAAGATCGTCTGACTCTACGGCTTCTGTGACAAGAAATAATAATACGTAAAACATTGATATGTTTTTAAGGCGTACTTAAATATCTATGATCATATAAATGTTATTTGTTTCAGAATCAGAATATATTATTGTCTCCAAAGAAGAAATTCCTTTGCTTCTAATAAAACCTTAAGAAACTATTGCACAATAAAATAAATTGTGGCTTTCGTTATTTTACAGAAAACTAGGGCTATGCTTATGGCCGAGTGGTTGGGCTTCTCAGTCGAATTAAGAACAGTCTAAACGCTCAGCTACTTGAGTAACCGTCATAGGAGATCTGGGCACAAAAGTCCAAATCCTTTTTTTTTTCCTGTGGGCCTTTATGACAGTTATTGGCCAGTATACAAAAGGATGCAAATCCTCTCTCTTTTCCGAATAGTTTTTGACGTTCTTTAACGTGCACATGGGCAATATTCCATACGGGATATGACTTAACCATGTCTTCTGATTGCGCTTTAAAATACTTGCATTTCAGCCCTCAAAATGAAACCCAAAAAGTGCAACTGATGGAAATACTCTGGCATCATATGTTTAGAATAGACCTCCACGGTTAGCACACATACAGTTTTTTACCAGCAGTTTTGCCAACTGACCTTACCTGCTCTCTTCACATACAGGTTGTAGATAATTCAGTTGGAAACTTCCAATTTCGAAGTTAGATCAATTATCAATTAAAATAAAAGAAATAAATGTATATAAAAAGCTATATATTATTAGGCAAGATGGCTACAGCTTGATCAATAATTGGCTTATGTGGTAACATTATATAACAGTATTTTGTTTTTATCAACTAAAGGCAATTCTACACTACACTCATTACTTTACATTGAGTTTATTGAGAATGTTGTAGTTCCATGATATATTACCATGGATACCATATCATTGCTGTTGAATGTGAAGAAAAAATATACAAAATCAGACAGATCTGGCACAAGAAAAGCCGCAGACTTCATGAATTTATCTGACCTTCTATCACCGTTTCATGATCACTTGTATTTAATCCGTCAGTGTTTCCATCGGATTCACGTGGAAAGGTAGGTATACTGGTGGATTCCCGACTCTTTGGTTTCTTTGTTTCATTAGTGTTCTCTTTGAATCGTGATTGAAATTCTTCTTCCTCGTGTTCTGTATGAAGAAAGAAATGTTGATAACCAAAATAATTACAACATTCGATTCAGGTGGAGGGGTAGGCCTACTGGGATATTCCTGATTATCATTGTTGGGTTTCTTTGTTTTATTTGCGTTTTTAAATCGTGACTGTTATTCTTATTTTTCTAGTTCTGTATGAAGAATGAAATGTTGATGACGACATATTTTTTTAATTTAAATAATCATCCTAAAATAAATCAAATAGAAAATTGTATAATTACATTAGTAGGTCTAATGTCAATATCATCGTCGCCATACTAATCGTAATCACCGTTATAACAATCAGACTATGTATTTTCATTCTTAATATTACCATATTATTAGGCCTACTATGAATAATATAACTATTCTGTAGGATAGCAATAAGACGAGTATTTGAAACAATAAGTGTAGAAAATTTCAAAAATCTATCAGACTTTCTGTGACTGTCATTTGTATTTAATTCGCCAGATTTTGCATCCGATTCACTTGGAGGCATAGGCTTAAAGCTAGAATCCTGAGATCTTAGGTTGCTTTGTTTCATCAGTGTTTCTTTTTTTGTGGTGTAGTTCGTTATCACAACGATATTATTAATATGGTTCTTCTCATTATAATTTTAGTATTAAGGCTAATATGAATATTATTACTACATTATTAAATTAGTAATATTATTATTATTATTAATTTAGTAATGTAGTAATAATATTCATATTATGACTACATTACTAAATTAATAATAATAATAATAATAATAATAATATTACTACATTCCTAAATTAGTAATAATATTACTAATATTATTTTCTGTTGCTGATAATATTATTAATTAGAATGATAGTTTATTAGTATTATCATCATTAACATTTTAATTTTTATTATCTTTTCAAATACCATCATCATTATTGTAGCGATATAAATATTTGCTTCCAGCTTTGTCTACACTATCAAATTTCATCAAAAAAGCGTCACATAAAATTTGATGGAACATTTATAAGTTGTACACGTTTAAGTTTTTTTTAAAACAATTTGATATGTGATATACCGTCATCGTACCCATATATGGACACATCACATCTTTTCGTCACATAAAATTTGATAATATAGACAAAGCTTAAGAGGAAAAGATACGGTATCCGTCAAACCTTCGAGTGGTTCATTGGTTTGGTGTGGACTGGACGACTCTTCAGTTGGTTGGTGAGGTACATCCATATGGTGGCGCTTTGCATGTCCGTGGTGGTCCGGATGACGTCTTTTATCTCTTTCTTCTGTAAAATATGTGAGCAAAATTGATGTATTTATAAATACACACATATCTCACTCCTATATAGTAAAATAATAGTAGAAATTATGCTCAAACAGAGTAACAAGTTGACTTTCTCTCATACAACTGACTGAAACGTTCTCATAGTGGAGCTACTGTATGGTTAAGTTTGAAATTGAAAGACAATTGACCGCATCTTGGAATTTTTTCCTACATTTATTGTTTTATTTAATTCTTAGTATATTTTTAATTATTTTTTTAATCGCCACTTCATGCTTCTACCTGGTTTCAATCATAACCCTATGTTTTGCCTTTCTATTATCATTACCTAATCCCCTAACGATCGTTATACTTTCCCACAGTCCACCACTTGATCATTTAGTTCTCCCTTATCACTGTTTGCTCATATTATGCCTTTATGCCGACTTGCTTTGAACTACGTATTATTACCATTTAACTCTTAATGTATATTTTATGTCAAGCGTTGACAAAGACTACAGTAGCCGAAATATTGGCATCAATACATTTTTTCTAAATCTTGTGTTTTATTACTGTTACGATACCGGTGTGTATGTATGTATATTCTATGTTTCGAAACACACGTGGACACGCCTTCTTCATATGCATACAAACATACACACATACATTTTTATTATA